TTTTCCAGGGTGGGGGGGGGGGGGAAGGTTGTGCTGAAAAACTCGGTGTGGGAGGATGTTGTCGGTGTCGCGGGGCAATTAAGGGTGAAAGCTCATCAGTGAGTCAGGAGCAACGTGTTTCTAAAGTCTAAAAATGTCACTTTTAAAACACCTGGTGAAATGTTTTGTGGGGAAAATTATTATGAAGTGAAATCGTACGTGGTTTTGGGGGTTTTTTTCCTGTTACAGGTGTCTTTTGTTTTTTTTCTGTAAAAGGAATTATTTTAGCTGCTTGGGGAAAAATTAAACCCGGGGAGAAGTAGGTTGCCCAACTTGCGGATTTGGTGGCCGGTTCACCTCTCCTGCATGTGCTTCACTCGAGCATTTCAGTGTTAAATCAGGAGATGAGGTGTATTTGCAATTCCCTGTGTGGATTTGCAACAGCACCGTTGAGTTTTTCGGCGGCTCTTGTTGCCACAGGGTTTTGGGAGCTGATTTCATCCAAAAAAGCTGGGTTTGGTGCTGTATTTGCCACCACCATTGGTGAAGCCACTCGCTTTGCAGGGACGAGAGGGACACTGTCCTCTTTCGGAGGCACTGCCACCCCCTTTGCACAGGTACCCATGCTTTAGAGATGCTTTAACTGGGAGCGACTGGTTCCAGTTGGGTTATTTTTCTGCCTTCTCTTCTCCTTTCCCTTTCCACCCTCCTTCCCTTTCCCTCCACCGGTCCCACTCCTCAGCCGCCCCTTGGCTGCAGGAGAGGAGGATTAGTTATTTTTTTGGCTCCCTTAAAGCTGTCGGCCGTTGCCAAAACCAAACATGTGGAAGATCTTTCCTAAAAAACGTTAACGTTTCGTTCCACGTCTGTTGTTAATTGAAGAAAAACCGAGCCAGGACCAAGGTCTGCAAGGACCCCGGCACCGCTGGAGCGGCAGGTTTGGGATCCCCTTGTGCCACGAGAGTGGGGGGCTAGTTCAGCCCCCTTGGGGAGAGCCCAAAGGGAGCAGAGTTTGGCTCGTGGGCTTGTGCTGTCTGATTCCTACAAGCCCACGGCTTCCCTGGGTGAGGCAGCCGGGCGCCCACACGCAGGAGAACGCCGAGATGGTATCCTGCAAAATAAAGTCACGTTGGCAAACGCTGCAGATGGTGTGGTGCATCCAGAACAGGTTTTGCTAGTTCACAGCAAAATGTTCTTTTCTTTTTTTTTTTAATTTATTATTAAAAGAGAGAAAAAAAAAAACAACCAACCCGTAGAAAACATTCTTGCCAAAGGAAGGAGGAGAAACAGCAGCAGCAGGTTTGAGCTCCGGGATCACGATCATCCGGTCTTGGGTACCATCCAGCTTTGATCCATCAGCATCCACTTGGGGATCTGCAGGAACCTTTTGTAGAAGTGGCTTCTTTTGCTTTTTAGCCAGGCTGATGGAAGTCCTAAAAGCCTGCAAAACTTCCCGTTTCCATTTTTCCATTAGGATAGGGCAGGCTGAGCCGAGCCAGGCGCCCGCCTGTGCCCTTCCTGGGTGAATCTGATGCTTATTTGAGCCTGCAAAACTTCCCGTTTCCATTTTTCCATTAGGATAGGGCAGGCTGAGCTGAGCGGGGCGCCCACCTGTGCCCTTCCTGGGTGAATCTGATGCTTATTTGAGCCCAAGTGATTTTTTCACAGTCTGCCTGTCGAGCAGCAGCTCTGCCTGGCACTGGGCAGGTTTATCAGCTACTGGTTTGAAGGGACAAGCCCAAGGGTGGAGGAGATGGCGGTGGTAAACACGTCCCCTCCCTCTGTGACAGCGGGACGGTCCTGCCTGGGGTGACACACCGCCTGGCAGCGCGGAGGCAGGAGAAGTGGCACAGCCTGCTCTTGGAGGACAGGTCTAATCCGGGGAGTGGCTTGTGGTGCCCTTTTCCATTGTCCACCTTGGTTTGGTGGCACCGTGGCTCCCGGTGTGGCCTTTTGGGAGCAGCTCCATGGATGTGGAGAGCGTCCCTCTCTGCTCTCAGCAGTTGACCAAAGATGAGCTTGATGAACACTGTCATTTCAGGGGTAACAGAGCCCTTCTGGGGACATGGGACCTTTTTTTTCTGTGCCTCAGCCCAGGCATCACTTTTTTAAGTCTTGGATGTCGCTGTCATCCGTCCCGAACAGGATTAACGTGCTCCCAAATCCTCTGTGGTCCAAACCTAAACCCTGCCCAGCCTTAGGAACCGGGGTAGGGAGTGGTGGCTTGTGCCCTGCTGTCCCTGGCCCTGAGACACAGACCCACAACCTCCTCCTCCTCCTCCACATGCAAAGTACAAAAGCCATTTTCCGAGAAGGAGGAGGGGAGGGAAGAGGCCAGTGCTAATTAAAACTAACAAGCCCTTGACATGGATGCTTTTTCCTGAGTTTGATGACCGCTCTCAAGGCTTCTGAAGATATTTTTGAACGCTCTTTGCTTTCTGCCTGACCCCGGAGCCCAGGATGTGCCTCCGACAGCCGTTTCAGCCCAGAAGGACCACAGAATTCCCCAGCTCCGTACGTCGGCAGCGTTAATGAGCCCTGAGAGCTTCCTTCCCCACAGCCTGGCACCCAGGTGCTGCCATGTGATGGCATCTGCTCCTAGACGTGCTACACAGGGACCATTTGGTGACAAGGGACAAGCACAGCTGATGTGCAGGGATGGCATTTCTCCTTTTTTTTTTCCTTTTTTCTCTGCAGTCATTTGCTTTTGCTGGATTGGGATTTCCCTCATTTCTCTTTGGGTGAGGTTCTTTCTGTGGTGGCTTTGTTCTGTGCTTTCAAATGTGGGGTTTTTCCTCCCTTTTTTTCCTCTCTTTTCCAGCTGATAGCTGTTAAAAGGTACCTTGTAGGGGTTTTGGGGTTTTTTTTGAGGTTAAATCAGTCCTCCTAGCATCTCTGGGGCTTCCTCTTGTTGGCATGAGATGGTTTTCAGCTCACTACCTTTGCTCTGTGTGTGGCTGGGCAGTGGGTTTCTCAGGACATCACGGATGCTCCGTGCAGCACAGCATCTCCTCCTGGAAGAGAAATGGGAAGCGTGGCGTGTGGGATAACCTTCCACATGGAAATCCAAACCCATGAGGCCCCTTGCCCTGGCCAGAGCTTGTCCATCGGTGCCTCGTCTTGCCACAGATGGTTTTGATTGTGCCTGCCCTCCAGCTCGATCCTGCTCTGCTGGAGACTGACACACCCTGAATTTGCACATTTTTGCTCAAAATCACCACTGCTGGAGTTTAATCCATGGATGTTGTGGGGCTGGAGAGGAACTGAGGAGCAGAGGGTCCTGCTCCTGCTGCCAAGGGTGCTTCAGGGCAGCTATCCCAGTGGCAGAGAGATCGTAGACTCATGGAATGGTTTGTGTGAGAAGAGACCTTTAAAGATCATCTAAAGACCTTTAGATGGTCCCCAGGGGCATCTTCAACTCGATCAGGTTGCTCAGAGCTCTGTCCATCCTGACCTTGGATATTTCTAGGGATGGGGCATCCACAGCTTCTCTGGGCAACCTGGGCCAG